TTAACTCATATGTCCAATATCAACCTATAAAGTCCTCTTCAGATTCACAAAGTCCTCTTCAGATTCACAAAACACATGCAATGACACTGAATGCAGAAAGATCACAGGCCAGTGGGTTGGAAGTCTTGTGGATCCAGTGGCATTGTAAACATCTCAGCACCGGCAGGGGTCTCTACATGGCTTCTCCAGCTCCAGAGGTCTGGTTGCATCAGGGTAGGTCCATGTGGCTTCTCCAGCTTCCAGGGCGTAGCACCATGCGTCTTGTCAGTAGAGCACCTCTCAGGGAGTAAGCAGAGGGAGAGAGAGAGAGGTGTCTCCTGCCTCCAAGGAGGAAAAACAGGAGTTCCCAGAATTCTCAAGAGAAGGCCATGCCCACACAAAGAGGCCTCGTTTATATCTTGATTGGCAGGCCAGACTCCGCCCCCTTCACTCGCAGTCCTCTCAAATTGACATCAGATGATGTAACTACCACAACCCACCAGCCCCTCTGTGTGAGGCAGACGAGGCAGCCTGTCCTTACCAAGGGCCACAGACACAGAAACTCCGTGGGGCAGCTCTACTCCCTGCTTTCGGCTGCTCCAAGGGAAAATCAACCTCCCAGCGAGGTTTTGTGCCCGCAGGGCGTCCCTGAGGGGTGCAAGCCATGAACACACTGGTCCATTAACCAAAAGATTAGGGGTTCTACCCAAACGTGCCTGGGAAGAAATGCCTGGCAATTTACTTTGGAAAACCCAGTGATTGGCAGCTCCAGGGGGCACAGTCCTCCCCACACTCCTGTAGGATTGTCAGGAGTGAGAGAGGACGCCAGGGGGCCTGATGGCTCTAGGTATTGTGCCCCTCCTCTCCCTGGTGGTGCTGTAGGTTAGGCAGTGCGCTACTAACCGCAAGGCCTGTGGTTCAGACCCACCCTTCCCTGAGGGAGGAAGATGAGGTGGCCCACTCCTGTAAAGAGGCACAGCGTCTCAGAAACCCTGTGTCGGGTCACGATGACACAGAATCGTCGCGTTGGCAGCCAGTTGTTCGGTTCCGGCAGGAGCACATCTCTGGGGGACGCTGCAGGAGTTTGCATGCAGGTAGAACCATGAGGTCTGTGGCCCCTGCTGCCGAAGTAACCCGCCCCTCTCCCCACTTCTTTCCTCAAGCCCAAAGCCAGAACCGGAATCAGCAAGCCCTACAACGTCAAGCAGCTCAAAACCAGCAATGCCCAGGAGGCCGAGGCTGCCATCCGGTGCCTCATGGAAGCCAAAGCAGGTGGGCGTCCTGGGCCTCCCCTGGTTGAGGGGAGACGCCGAGTTCCTTTCCTCTTCCTTCTAACATGTTCTAGAAGAAGATCGCTGTCCCTCTCTTCTGGAGGCAGTCAATGGAAGCACCACCTAGCCCTGGTCGGAAAGCGCTCGGCTGTAGACCGAAAGGCCAGCGGGTCAACCCCCCAGCTGCTCCCTGGGAGAAAGCTGGGGCGGGCTGCCTCTGTTAAAAACCGAAGAGGCAGTGCTACCCTGCCCTGAGGAGTCAGAATCGACTCCATGCAATGAGTTTGAAGAAAGGAGCCTGGTGGCCCAATGGTTAAGCACAGGGCTACTAACAAAGATGTCAGGGGTTCAAATCCACCTGGCAGTTCCGAGGGAGAAAGCCATGGTCACCTGCTTCCACCCCGGGGAAGGTGCCTCATCTGTCATGTGGGACCCTTAGGAGGCGGGATCCGCTAGAAGGCAAAGGGTTTGCTGTGGTTCACTCTTACCCCTTAGGGACATTTCCTAGAATTCCACGACTGAGAGGTGTTGCCCATTGTAAAAGGTACAGGCGAGTAAGTCTCTCAAACATATCTGTGGATTAGGACGCAGCGCCTAAGGAGCCGGGTGGCACAGCGGTGAGCGTGAAGCGCTGGGAGCCACACCTGACACACCTGGAAGGTTTTCTGTGAAGGAAATGCTTTTTGTCAGCAAATTCTTCTTAAAGTGTAAACTGGCTAGGCAGTGAACAAGCTTTCTCCTTATTTTCAACGTGCAGTCTTTTGTTCCAGGGAACCCGGAAGACGGCCTGAATGCCATGGCCCTGAGGGACCCAGGGGCCTCCAAACCAGAGCCCCCAGTGGGGGTGGCCAAGCCGGAGTCCCAGCAGGCGCCCCACCTGCTCCCCCGGCGGCCTGCGCCCAGAGTTCCCGCCATCAAGAAGCCAGCGCTGAGGAGGACAGGCAAAGTAAGGACCAGAGATCGGGGCTCTCCCCCACCCACTCCACCCGAATGACCAGCGCTCCCATTAGCCCTGCCAGACATCCACCCCCAGGCAGAAACCCAGAGGACTGAGTCTAGTCCCAGGACAGCTGTGCCTCCTTTGAGCACCAGCCCCCTTTGCGCTCTCTGCTGCATGTCCTGTCTCAGCTCGGCTGTCGCCAGGCAGAAAGGAGGTCCTTCACTGTCTTTCGGAGCCCTGGTTGTGCAGTGGTTACCCTTGAACTGTGTTCCCAAGGTCAGTAGTTCGAAACCACCAGCAGCTCCATAGGAGAAAGACGAGGCGTTCTGCTTCGTAAAGAGGTACAGCCTGAGAAACTCACAGGGGCAGTTCTACCCTGCCCTGCAGGGTCGCCAGGAGGCGGCATCGACCTGACGGCAGTGAGTTTCTTCCTTGTGGACTGTCAGTCTGCAGCTCCTCCCTGCGACCAGCCGCTTTGAGTCGGACGCACCGCCCATGTTTTATTGCAGCCCCGGAGTCCGGCCACGAGGGGGCGCTCCCGCCTCGGCCTGATCCGCGCATGCGCAGCGCGCGCGTCTCGCCCGGGCTCGGGCCCCGCGGTCCCGGAGAAACGCTGACCAGCGGCCCGGTAGCCGCTCGGCGCCCCGCCGGCCCGCAGCTCTCCTGCCGCTTTTCTTGCAGATCGACTTCTGCCCCGGCGCGCCGGCCTCTGAGCCTTGCTTGCTGCTTCAGAGACATGAGTTTGTCAGGACAGTGGCCGCGCAGAGACTGGCCCCGCTGGAGGCTTCGGGGACCTCCGTGTGATCGCGGGGTCTAGTGGCGGACGCTCGGTAATGCCCGGCGGCCGTAGGGGGACGCCGCCGTCTGCAGGTGGCGCGAGCCCGTGCTGTGGGGGCTCCCCCTCGGCGGAGCCCGCCCCGCCCCCCTGCGTTGCTGTGCACCCCCCGCCGTGGCCCTGCCGTCTGCCCCTGCCCGCTTCCTGCCCAAACCCAGTCTCTCCTCCCCTCCGGTCCCCTGACCCGCGGGCTCTTCTTTTCAAAGCCAGGCGCAGAAGCGGGTCACCGCCCCCCAACTGCCACCCAGGAGGTGCCCCCAAAGCTGTCAGGAAAGCGACTGCTCTTTGCCCCCTTTTTGGTTGATTTTCTGTAGCACACCAGGGCTGGCGCTGCAGAATGGCCCTGGGGAGGGGCGGGTGCCAACAGCTACGTGCCTGACTGCTGACTAAGAGGCTGGAAGTTCTCGTCCACGCCCGGCATCACCGACTTAAGGCTGGGCGGGCGATCTGCAGCCGTGGGAAACCTTCCGGAGCGCATTCTACTCTGACCCACCGTGGGGCCCCAGTGTCGAGGCCGACTCCGTGTCTGTGCTGTGTCTGGCCCAGCTCAGGTGGTGGTTTTGTGCTCGTTTTGAGCCAGAACCCAAGAAGTAAAGCTCCGGAGGAAGATGCCCTGCTCTTCCACATTTAATCCAGAGGGCCTGGCATGAGCTTACTGTTGTAACCTCATAGCACTGTCGGGGAAGCATTGAACCACTCACTGTAAGGTCGGGGGTTCAAACCCACCAGTCCCTCTGAGGGAGAAAGATGAAGCCATATGCTCCCATAAAGATTTACGGCCCCCCCAAACCCGCTGTAGGGTTGTTCTGAGTCAGAACTGACTCGCTGGCAGGCTTTTGGGTTTGAGGGTGCAGGCACCAGGCAGGCACATTCCCAGGCTAGCTGCAGTCTGTAGGGAGGATGTCTTCAGAGCGTTTTGTTTTGTTTTTTAAAATACTTTCATTGGGGGCTCTTCCATCTCTTTATCACCATCCATACGTTCCTCCGGTGTGAAGCATTTTGGTTTTAATGAGGGGCAAACATCGCTTCGGTGGCTAAGCTTCAAAAACAAAAGTATTGTCTCCAGTTTTTGGCTGTGGCCCTGGCTTTAAAATGTCCATCCCCACTCCTTGGTCGGTCTGCGTGTCTCCCGTCCTTCCTGTTACCCGGTCACCAAGTCCGGCCTCACTCCCATCCACACATGTCGTGTGTGTATGTGTGTGTGTGAGCCGGTCAGCGTAGCCTTGTCTGTGGTGCACACCCGACTGATGTTCTTTGTCCCACTTCTCCTCAGCCCCTGTCGCCAGAAGAGCCGTCTGAGGAACAGCTGGCCCATTTCACTGCAGGGCCCCCAGAGATGAGCCTTGAAACCCCTCCTCCAGCTCCTCGAGTCCCCCCCACCCCCAAACCCAGGACATTCCAGCCTGGGCGAGGTGGTGAGAGGAGGCCAGGCACCGGGAAGCCGGCGTCAGAGGAGATGCCAGGGGCCAGCGCTTCTGGGTCAGCACTGCTGGAGGTCCCGGCTCCCGTGCCCAAGGTCCCCCCGAGAAGGAAGAAGTCAGCTCCAGCTGCTTTCCACCTGCAGGTCCTGCAGACCCACGGCCAGCTTCTCCAGGGCCTGCCCTGTGGCAGCAGCCTAGACAACTGCCCACCCGGTCCCCTGCCGGGTCTGGGCGCCCTCTCTCCGCAGCCAGGCTTTCTTGGCACGCCATCTGCCTCAAGCCCAGAGCCCGATGCCACCAAGGCGGTGAAGTTAGAGACAGCCTCCCTTCGGGGTGATTATCAGGATCCCTTCTGGAACCTTCTCCATCACCCTCAACTGGCGACTTGTGCCTGGCTTTCCAAGAGCTCTGACCCCTTGGATTCGGGGGCCAGGAGCTTTGAAAGGGCAGCCATGGGCCCCCCACAAGTCATCAAGGCAGCAGTGTTGGAGCCATTGCCAGCAGACCGCGGGCAGCAGGACCTGGGCAACTGGGTGATGCTTGGTGACGAGGACCAGAGGACGGCCCTGCAGTTGTTTGATCCGCTGGCAAAAACATGACTGAGGGGCTCACACAGCCGCCCCTGAGGACCACGTGTCTCCCTCCCCTGCTGGCGTCACCCCCCAGGAAAAGGTCCTCTTCTTTCGAATCCTCGCTCTGAAGACATGCGTCATAATGGAGTGCTGAGACAGACCTGTGGGTTTCAGCCCCTCTTGGGTAGCGTAGGGAAACGGTGTCTCTAACTCATTACAATGATTAGTCCACCCTCCAAAGTATGCTTTCCTCAAGCCTCATACACCTAAGGTTACCTTCGGGGACCTGGGAGCCCCGCTGCTGAGCCCCAGGGTATGAGCGTTAGTGGAAAGCCAGCGGTCAGGCTCACGAAGATCTCACCCGCCAGATTTAAATGGTTGCTCCGTTAATGTGTGTGCGCGGTGTGCCTCTAATTTTTGTTGCTTTGTGTGTGATGCATTTGGAATAGCTTTGTGGTGGCGCCCCTGAAGGCTGATGCGTGAAGTACAGATTCATTACGTGCAAAGAGAGACAGCTGGGACCACCGAGAGCTGCCTGTGGGCCCCTGAGACCAGGCTAACAACCAAAATGGAAATTAGAAGCAGATCTCTCAGATGATTGCCAGCCAGTGGGCTCAAGGGTTGAGCCCTGGAGTGTGTATGTGTTGGCCATTGGGGGGCATCGGACATTGGCTAGGCCTGAAGCAGTGGTCAGTGGCTGAATCTCAGCTGGAACTGGTGCAAGGCTCCTACACGGCCTGTTCGATACCACATGCCCCGTACCCTGCTAAGGAGCCTGGTGGCGTAGTGGGTTGGGAATTGAGCTGCTAGTTGCAAGGTCAGCGCTTTGAAACCACCAGCCACTCCAAGAAAGAAAGATGAGGTTGTCTGTCCCTCAGAAATCCGAAAGAACTGCCTAGTTCTACTCTGTCCTGTAGGGCCACTGAGAGTCGGAATCACCGCAGCAGTGGGTGAATGCATAGTCTACCATGTCTCAGCTATTGCATACCCTGTACAGTGCTGGCATCTCTGGGTAGTCGGTGCAAATGATCAGTGTGCTCAGCTGCCACCCAGGAAGTGGGAGGTTTGAATTCACCCTGAAGTGCTTCGGAAGAAAGGACTGGCTGCCTGCTTCTGAAACGGATAAGCCTTTGAAAACCATAGAGCACAGTTCTGCCTTGACCTACGTGAGGTCATCAAGTCAGCCACGACTAGCCACACATCCTACCATCCTTAAGTCCTGCTCTGCCCTCACACTCGCCCCCTCTCTGCCCCTGCACCCTGTGATATGAGCACCCGCCCTCTTCCTCCTCCTCCTGGCCCTGTCCTCACTGTTACACTGAGGCCAGGCCACGCTTCCAGGGGGTGTGCTGGCCCAAGCCCTGCTGCTGGCTGGCTTGTCACTTCCCTGTCATCTGGACATTGCCCACACCGCTCAATTGAAAAGGCATGACCCTATTGTTATGAATTTTTTAGAAATCACATTAAAGGGCCTCAAGACACCAGGATTTTTCTCTTAAGAGCTGCACCAGACAAGGTAGCTGGTGAACTGGAAAAGGCTCCCCTGCTACACGCTGCCGGGATCAGGCAGCACTGATATCGACTTAGCCCCCAGGGGTCTCTAGGGTTTCTGATACGAAATGCAAATAGATGAATGAGCCTCTGTAGGGCAGCCCTCCTCTTTCACCAACCCAACCTGTGGGAACGATGGCTGACTGCCACTGTCACAGTACCCGGCAGATAGCTTAGACTTGGTGACCACAGTGAAAGTCAAACCACACTGCTCACACTCTGTCAGGTGATGGGCCGAAGAGCAGAGCCCAGGCGTCAAAGACGGTGTTTCTAGCCTAGCTGAGCGGGACAGCCGCAGAAGCAACAAGTGCTGTGATGTCTCTCTTACCTCTGTGACAAGGACAAGAAGTAAACTCCATACATATTCCTTAAAGCCTCCCGGCGGCGGGGAGGAGGCACGATGGTAGGAGTCTTGAAGACTCCTACAATGCTTGCCATTGATGGGGACAGTTAGGGATGGAATTGAAGATGTCCCCAGTGTGCTGGTTTCCCTATAACCTCGTCGCTCCCCGCAACGAAGATGAATTTGAAAAGCTAGCTGGGACATAGGTGCAGGATAATTGTACCAGGGGAGGCGTAGTTTTAGCTTTCTTTGTTCTAGAGCAAGCAGCAACCAGATGGTACAGAGACCTGAGTGCTGGTAAAGGTAGGTGCCCCCCACCCAGGTAAGCCTTGAGGTTGCAGCAGGTGGGTGTGTGGGCACGAGGAGCAAGGCCATGAAGAAATGTATAAGTCATTGAACATGAATTAACAACCACCGAGTGATGCTGGGTGCTGGACTTGGATACACAGCAGACGCAATGGGGGAGTTTGAGGTGGTCATGTGTGGTGTGCTCACACCCCCTCCTGTCTCCTTGATCATTCTGTCATACGACTGGAATGGCCTGATCTACTGTTTACACCATTGTTGAGCAGCTCAGGCTTTCCTAGGCTCACACCCTCAGCAACGAGGTTGTTGACTTTGCAAAGGTTTGTTTCCAACAGCCTCCGGGTGTGATCACTCATGTATTTCATCTCCACCGATCCGAAAGACGTTACAAGTCATTGCAGAACATTCTAGGTACTGCACTGGGTTCTGCAGAGCTCCTACATTGGTGCATGTAGTTGACATGCATGGCTCTTGACCAAAAGGTTGCAAGTTCACTTTGGGGGAAAGGCCTGGTGACTGTCTACTATAAACTTATTGTTATAAATACTAGGGGTCCATGATTAAGTCCATTTGGAAATGTTTTTGTAGAAAAATAAAAAGAATACAAAGGCCCCCCTGGGGTCACCATGACTGGGAGTCAACAGCAGCTGGTTACAGGGTAAACTTCACAGACTTCTTGCTGGTGCTGGTCCATCAGTACAAGTAGGACAGCTGCCCAGGCACTTCCTAGAAGGGCTGAAGATTGTGGGAAGCTCGGGGCACTTGATACATTTGAGTCTGGTGCGTGTTATCGGCTGAAGCAAAATCATGTATCAAAGCTTGTGTTCTGGGATCCCATTGGGAAGGAGAGCTGAATAAAGACTATTTATTGGGTGATTACCAATTAATAAAAAGCCTTGTACTGTTTATTTGGATTGAACATTTGTACTGAAGTGTAAATAGTACCGATTAAAAATTTTTTTACTTTCTTTTCCTTCAATTTGGTTGATTTCTTTTCAGAGATGAGGTATCTTCTTTGGCTAGGCGGCACCTGTTCTCAATAAAGCGTGATTACTCTCATTCACTGCGACTCTGGGACAAGCTAGAACTGCTCTGTGGGCTTCCGAGACTGTAACTGTTTATGGGAGTAGAAAGCCCGGTCTTTCTCCCTCAGAGTGGCTGGTGGTTTCAAACTGCTGACCTTGCTGTTGGCAGCCCAATGTGTAACCACTACACCACCAGTTGGGTGTGGTTGGGTTCGACCATCAAACTAAGCTGCAAAGGTTAGTTAAGCTGCAAAAGTTGGTTAAGAATGTCCGGCTGGAGCACTGCTGAAGCCAGCGGCGCGGAAGGAGGTGATGGGTCCCAGAGGAGGCCAAGATGATTGATTGCTCACTGGCTTGGGCATATTGGGAGAAAGAGGGCTTTCTACTCCCTGAGAGTAGCAGTCTGGGAAACTCCCAGGGGCAGTCCTTACCCTGTCCTATAGGGTTGCTACGAGTTGGCATGGACTGGTGGGTGAGTTCGGTACAGGTTCTTCTGGGAAAATACCTGCTCAAGCCTCGTGGGACATGCAACGTTGGCATGGATGATTTGACTTTTGGTCCTGCTCTTCTGAGCACAGGGCCACACCTGAGGCCCGTGAGCGAGAATGGACCCGGCTGAGAGGGCCCACCTGGGCCGATGCTGACTGACCTTCAGGAGGCCTGATGAGCCTGACTTGTGCCCGGGCTGTGCCAGGGAGGCTGGTGCTTTGCGGTAGCCGGGAGAGGAAGCGGTGTCTCCTGAGCTGTGTGGATGGCCAGCGTGTGCGAGGCGTATGCCCCCCCCACACACACACACACTATATCCTCTGGGACAGCTCCCAGAGGCACGGAGATGAGCGTGTTCTGTAACTTCTCCATCCGAGCCCCTCATGCACAACAGTGGGGTGTGCAGCCTCCGTCGCCCAGACAGCCCAGGGACCTGCCCACCTGCGTACACGGTAAGTTAGACAACCCACTTTCTAACGTGTGGCCGAGAGGGGCTCTGGTGGCACAGTGGGCAAAGTGTCGGGCTGCTGAGAGTGGGCAGCTGGGACTTGGCAGCTGCTCCCACAAACGAGATCCCTGGCCTCCGAAATCCCACAGGGCAGTTCCCCTCAGTCTGGCTGAGCCGCAGGGAGTCAAAGTCAACAGGATGTTAGATTTGGGGTTTTAACATGTGTTCAGGCCCTGATTGGACGCACGTGATGTTTATGGGGCAGGGTCTGGATTTATTATTTGCTCCCTGCTCCAAAGGCCTCCAGACTCTCTGGAAACCAGAGGTGCACTGGGAAGACGGGGCTGTCCGGGAGTGATGCCCCCTCACTTGGGGGTGTCCAGCCCTTTGCTCCTTGTCCCAATGGATTGTCTCGCTGGGTTGTCAGCCCGGTTCTTTGTAACAGGTTAGGAAGCGTGTCCTGTTGTAACTGACACCAGTGTCGTCTTCGGGTTCCGACACCTTTCCTTTTGTCGCCAGGTCTTTTGATGTGAAGAAGTCCTTAATGTTGTCCGACTTGAACCGTTGATCTCATGGTTAGTGCCTTTTGTAACTTACAAAGATCTCCCTGCTCCACAGTTAAGTTCTCCTGGGTCACCATCTAAAACCTTCGGCATGTGGCCCGTCACATTTAGCTATGCCACCTGAGAGATGTATCTGCTTGAGGGAAGTCAGTCCCCGTTTTCCTCAGGTGCCAATCTTACGAAGAGAAGCTCATTTGCCGCTCTCACTAGGGTCAACCTGTCCCAAGTCAAGTGCCCGTGTCTGTGTGGGCCTCCTCCTGGCTCTTCTGTTGGGCCACATTCTGTTTCTCCTTTTGCAGTATGTATTTTTCTTCACTTTTTCAGCCTTTAAAAAAAAAACTGGTTTCTAGATACCTTTTACTAGAAACAATGCAGGAAATTCTCCTCCTGGCTGTAATTTCCCGCCCCATGGGTTGGGGGTGGATTTCAAGGTCATTTTATGCAAGCATTGGAACGAACGAGCACCTTTTCATGCTGGCTTGCATGCACTAAGCAAACCTTGTGCTCTTTGGACACACCCATCCTGGACGTGGGATACTACCTATCACTGAATTTCGTCACATGCGTGTTCCTGGGGCCAATGCCAAGTGCAGGGAACCCCATCGATGAACACGTGTCTGTGCTTCTATGGCAGGGGATTTGGGATTTGGGATAGCAGAGTCGAGCAAATGGCTAACGTGTTGAACGCCTGGTGACCCTTCCTCCAGTGCACTCAGATAAAGGGATTGGGACCCGTCAGCAGGACCACCCTGACACTCGCTTGCTTCTCGCCCCCACATGGGAGTAACCACTAGATGCTTCTGGACTTCTTTCCATTTTCATCCCAAGTCTTAGTTCGGGTTCACACTTGGCCTGGATTGTAATAGAACTGTCACTCAGTGCAACTGGGGAGGGGCGCGCTGGAAAGAAGGGCCCAGGGCAAGACTGCTGTCCCTTTTTAGAGACAGGGACCTCTGGGGTCAGCAGGGACCTGGGGTGGGGGGAGGAGGGGGGTGTTGCCACAGGGACCTCTGGTGGGCTTTTGTTTTCCAAGCAAACGCCTGTTTTAAACATAGCCCCCCCCCCCCCCACGCAAGTACTCCGCAGTCTGAAGGCATGAGCAGAGAGGCCACCTTTGGAACGTGGGGGCTCTTCCCATGGGGGCACATGCAGTGTCCTGGGAGCCCATGCCCACCTGGCTTTCTGTATGAGCTTCAAGACACCTGAGGTCCTACAGTGATGAAACTGGACATGTTGGCTTGGTAGTATGCTTACATTTCCCAAACTCCGGGCCAGGACAACCTCTCCAAACCCCAAGGCCAACCCAAAGGCACAGCTGAAGGGCTGGGATGCTCCCAGGTGTGACTTGTTCTAACGTTGAATGCTCCTTGCACACCCAACTGTCTGCTACTGGCTGCTGTCTTAAGCTCCTGACGTCACTTTTTAAGTAAAGCTACTTCAGAGGCTGCCATCGGGAAGTGCCCATCCAATACCAGGGTGCACTCCATGCCACGTGTACTTTAAAAAGACTTTTATTGAGCACATAAGTTTATCGCAAACATCCATACAAACCCAGGCATACTTGAATGTGACTGATATAGTCAAGAGATGCAAATTCATGATCCCATACACTTGAATTCCAGGTGCTCTACCCCATTGGAGGGAGGGGCACTCTGTGAGCAACATTCCCTGGAGAGCCAACGCCAGTGCCCTGCTGCCTTTCTCCCAATGATGGCCAGGCAGGCAGGCACCCTCTGCCCTCGGCCACCTCTGCCCAGTGGGAGCAGAGTGCATGCACACCCAGAGGAAGGGCTTCAGACCAGGTTTGATTTGTTCTCAGGTACAGGGGGGCTGGGCGCTGAGTTCCAGGGCGTCCTTGGGAGTTGGAGTTGAGACTAATGGCCACTCACTTTTCCTCTATGACACCTACTCTTGCGTACCCCCTGAAACAGCATGGAAAGTGACTTTGCACAGGAGGGGATTGCAGGGAGGGCCTGCCCATGCAGCTCCTCCCATTTGACTTACGGTTCAAAATCTTTTCAAATCACCTCATCTTCATACTCTGGTCTTCTCGGGGTTGTCAGCCAATGCTTTTTAAAAGAAAAAATTGACTTAAAAAAAAAAAATTGACTTAAATCTCACAAAACTGATGGAGTCTGGCTGCGTCGTATGCGGTTCACAGGTGAATGGGTGGACAGATGGCAGCTTGATGGAAAGAATGCCCACTGGCAGGTGGCACCTGAAGAACCCCTGCCCGGTGCTTCCTTGAGAAGCACAGCTGTGACCGGGTGCTGGGTCTCGAGAATGAGGTCCCATCCCATCAGCCCCAGTTCACAAGCAGCGGTTTCCAGAGTGCTGACGCTGCCAGGTTGTATGGCAAACAGAGAAAGAAAGCGCAGCAAACCTACCTGACCCTTCCCCCTCACCACCTGGTCACCTCGCACCCTGCCGTGGGTGACCATCACATGGCCGTGTATGCAGCCAAGCCCATCAGAGGCACTTGTGCTGGTGCTGCATCTGCAGCCAGGCAGCCGTTGATGGGCTTGACGGGTCACCTGCTTCACCTGCAGATGCACTGTTGGCACTGACCATCCCATTCCACAAAAGCCACTACTGAGAATCAGAGCATAGATCCACACAGACGTCGTATGGAGTGTTCCTAGCAGCATGACTCCTGATACCCACGAAATGGAAAGGGCCCAGGAACAGCCAAGCGTGTAAACATCAGTCAGCAATAGGGAAAACAGCAGCTCAGACACAGGCCACACATGAGCGTGCCAGGAGAACATGCTCGGTGCAAGTGGCAGAGTATGGGATTCCACATGTGTGACAGGGAGCAGACTGGGAATCGCCAGGGGCTGGGAGGACTCGTGGTATGGGTGGCATTTGGGGGTGAAGGCAGGCAGGTTCTGGAATTAGATAGTGGTGAATACAAGCCCTCAATGACCGTTTGAAAGGGGGCATTTTATAGTACGTGAATCAGCTCTCAATAAAGCAGCCACTTCATGATCTGTCAACATGATTTCTTACTGGTCACAGGTTGGAGGTCAATTCAGACCATTTCCAAGTGAGCGAGCAAGGTCGAGTCTATTTGGCTTCTGAGAATCTGCGACTCTTGACCCCGAGTGCTGCTAATATGCATGACGGCTTGCTTTGACCCCACACTCTGGCCAGCCCCGGAAGAGCTGCTCTATCCTTACCTGGGCAGAGTGTAAGTACAGGTGGCTATGGCCTGGGAAGATGAGTATAAGCTAGGCTTTGAAAAGAAAAAAAAAAAGACAAAGCTTTGCCCTCGGCAAGAGTGAGAGAAGCACTGGGAGCCGGTCACATGGCATTAACCCCGCGAGTTCTTGCAAAGATGTTTGCGGTCATGGTCTCAAAGCTGAACCGGTGTGCAACCAGAGCAAAGCAGAGTCGTTTCTGCTGTGGGCCAGCCTCCTCCCCTCCACCCTGCATCTGTGCCCCTCAGGGAGGGAGTGGGAGGCAGCTCCCAGACGGGTTCTTTGCCAACCTCGAGCCTTGCCCTCTGCTTCCAGGCCCGCACATGCCAGGGAGTGGCTTTTGCTCTCCAGCATTATATCTGTGTTGGCACTGCCTGGCTCCCAGCCTGCAGGCATGTCCTCTCCCTGCGAAGATCCAGGCTACACCGACATCATAGTCACACCGTCAGTTTCCCAGGTCTTTGGCTAAAGTGTCATGGATGAATTGGAGGGTACGCTGGTACAAAAAAGCATCCTTGGTCTTTGGCTTACAAATGTTCAGATGGTTAACATCCACAGGAATCAGATCTCCAATGCCTAAATCTGAAGAAAACAAAAATGTCAGTAAATCCAAGGTCAAGATGTGAGCACCCTCCCCGCCCTGCCCTCCCCATCAATATTGCAGGACACTGGGGTAAGGTGCGGAGAGGGTAGTAAATCCGCATCTGGTAGACCTTTGCCCTCGGGCCACAGGGGTCAGACTCACAGGGAACTGAAAAGATGAAGCAACTTGAGGTTGCCCGCAGCTACGCTGTCTCACAGATCACATGTGCATGGGCTCTCGTTCATACGGCTGTCCCTAACGCTCCACCGAGGTGGTCCCTAGGTGTTAGGGCTACTCTCCACTTTTGCAGGAGCAGAGCTGGGGCAGCAGCATCCTCGGGGCCTCCAACCTTCAGGTGAAGGCCAGTTTGCGCAGCCCCACTCGGCCAGCGATCACACGGCTCCCCTGTGCTGGTGGGGGACAAGAGCCTCTCCAGCATGAATTCTTCTTACCCGGACACCCGCCGTCGCTCGGAGGGGGAAGGGAGGCTGGGGCTTGATGGCTTGAGAGAGTCGGAAGTGTCTCAGTCTAGCAAGGTGCCCTCAGCAAGTGACCAGAGGTAGCCCAGCCAGCGAGGGGAGGCATGCCACAGTGGGGTCGCCTCGAGGGAGAAGGGGCTCCGGAGCTGGGGCAGGGGTGTGGTTGCTGTCCGGATCTTGGCTGGTGCTTCAGGCTTCCACGGTTGTGCGCTGTGTTGACTTAACACCCGATCTTCAACTCCTGGCAGACCCCAGGTTACAAACAAGACCTGTGCAGGTGAGTTGGACCAGGTGCGCACCGTTCTAATGCAGCCTTCCTCCAGTGCTGATAAACACGCTTTGAAGCCTCTCCACAATTGCAAGGCTGCCACTGCTTCACCAAAAGTGACCAACGAATCCGTGGGGAGTCAGGGTTGGTTCTATCATTGCAAAGGAGGGCAGATTGCCTTAACATTGACGGGCAAAGAGGAGTTGTCCTAACCAGAGGCTGCTCGTCCTATGCAGCAACTCCTCATGCAACGGCACATTACTTTGAGGGGAAATCGCTTTAAGTTCTAATACAAAGCGTGAAGTATTTTTCATTTAGTGAGATAACATACCATCAAGTTCAGAGAAAACTCAACCTACATATTCAAGGGCCTCACCATGCCCTCGTTGCCAGGAGTCTGAGTGGGCAAAGGACAGTGCCCACCCGACCTCAGGGGCGATCCCAAAGGGGGTCCAGTGTTGTCAAGCTGGGAGGCCAGGCAGGCGAGGAGCCCTGTGGGGCCCGCCCTGCACAGGTCACGTGGGGCCCGCTGGAAGGAGTCAAGCTTTGGACCCCCATCCTCAGAGAGCCAGAGAGCGGCAGCAGGGAGGGGCCACAGCCCTCAGCCCTGGGATGATGAAGAAATGACACATGGACACTAGTTTTCCCCACTGGAATCTTGGCTGCTTGGAATATACTGCCCAACTAGCTTCCTTTGACCATGGCGGCTTTGATAGCTGCCAGCAGAACCTTCCCTAAAGGAAATGCCCATCTGTCTGTCTAGCTGGTGGAAAGATGTGGCTACTTGTAACCAAGAGGGCTCACAGTGGAAGGCTAATTAGGGGTTAGCCAGGTAGCCCATGTCACCAGTCATTCAGATGGAGGGGGAGGGGTAAGACGATGCTTGCAGAGAAAGTTTAACCAATGGCTGAAGAGCATAGAATTAGAGCCTGGGTCTTCCTAAACCTGCCTCCTGACCTGAGGCCCTGGGTGTGAAACGGACAGCTGCAGGAGACCCCCGCCCCATTGAGGAAGTACCTGCCGACTCCACTGGCACCACGTGGAGTTTAATCATGCTACCGATGTGCGTTGGCAGTGTTTCCACGAAATTCAGCACCTGGAAGTTCTTGTCTTTCGCGAATTCAAGAAATTCGTCCTGTAGGGCTTTCAGTGCCGGGGAATCTAAAACCAGAGAGGAGAGTGAGGCAGCTCCGTCAGCCCCTCACAGGATGCACCGACTCTCCCCGCGTCCGTCCCGGTTCAGGAAGGCGGCCGGCACTGTGCTGACTGCCTCCTCTCAGGAACCCTGCAGGACAGGACGCCACTGACAACTGAGCGGGGGAGGGGCCTGCAGGGAAGCAGGGACCACCCGGAGCAGGAGCCCCGTGCCCACCCCAGAGGGCAACCCCTGGAGAACCCAGCCTGTCCACACACCCCCAGCCATTCCCTCTTCCTCCCCATCCTCATGTGCACGGCAGCAGCCCAGCCCCCTGCACCCCCAAAGAGGCAGAGCAGGGGGGCGGGGGGACGACACACGGATGGACACAGGAATCTTTAAAATAAAGCCGATACTTAGTATCGTCGGAGTGATCTGAAGAGCGAATACATCCTTCAGCAAGAGGAAGCTGATCCAAGTACAGAGGGTTCTTGGGAAACAAGGTTTGACTCCAGAAAGATAATATATCAATTCTAGAGATGGTTTGGAAGATAAAGTCAAAGAGAAAATACTAGACAAATGGCTCAAGAGGGCAGAGAGGTTTCTCGGGGACTCTTTGAAGCCCTCCTCGTATGTGGCCTTCGGTATTAATCCCAAATGACTAAGACACAAGCGCAGGGGTCCAAATCCTGATGACCTGGAGTTCCAGAAAGAGAGAAAATGCTTACTTCAAACCAGCTCAGTGCTCCCTGCTCAACCTTCTAACACCTCAAAAACTCGTTGACGTTTTTATTGCTGATTCCCAGACTCATGGGGAAGTGCACTGTGGTTCTTTGGATGAACAGCTAAGGGCACCCACTGGACCAGCAGGGCTTCAGAGCGCCCGGGGGAAAGTCCCCTGCATTCAGGAGCCCCCTGGTAGAATGGTTCTCAGTTGAGATCCCAGAGGCCTTGGCGGCAGCGTGCAAACCTCACTTACCCTTGCTGAGCTCTTTGACCTCCAGGGAGGGGAAGAGCAGGTAGCGGTAGTTGACGGAGTACTCGGCCAGGCGCGAGCCGTGGTGCGGGACGCTGTAGAAGATGACGCCCCGGGTGTTGCGGATGAGCGCGCTCAGCTCGGGCCTCTTGGAGGCCTCGATCAGCATCTTCTTCACAAGGAGACCTAACCACACAGGAGCAGGAGAAACAGCGCCACGCTGGTATCCTTCCTGCCACTGTACCCATCCCCACCACGCCCCGCCAACAAAAGCAAGGTGAGCCTAGCCAGATCCGCACAGGTGCTTCCTGAATTTAAACGAGAACCAGCTGCAGAAGCAGGAACAGGGCCTGAATGTATGTGGCACTTGGTAAAGACTCAGAGGACTTTAAAACGTTGTTTGGGGGGGAGCAGTTCTCAATCAATTTTTCTAACTTTCTGAGCACGCCACAGGCAGGTGAGAACCGGAAGCCTGCTACCACTTCAGAGCTCTGCCCCTTGTCACTGAGAGGGACGGGGCACTGGTCTCCTGCCCCTGCAGCACTCTGAGGGCCACACCGAGCCTCCCTGTGAAGCTCTGCCTGGGGGACATGTCTCTGAGATGGCACTGCTCTCCCAGCCCCACTGTGGACCCACAGGGAGGCCTGAGGCCACTGGGGCACTGAGAACCCACAGGGAGGCCTGAGGTAGCAGGTGGGGCACTGAGAACCCACAGGGAGGCCTGAGGTAGCAGGTGGGGCACTGAGAACCCACAGGGAGGCCTGAGGTAGCAGGTGGGGCACCGAGAACCCACAGGGAGCCTGAGGTAGCAGGTGGGGCACTGGAGCTCCAAGGGCTACGTCCATCTTCTCTTTCCACACTTGACCCACCTCATCACCAGCCAGGTGGACAGCAGGGTGCAAGAGAAGTGGCTTTAAGCCAGCCTGAGGTCTCCGGGCCAGACCGAGTGGGTGGGTGCAGGGAGACTGAGGGGGAGGCGTGTTTCTGTCTGAGGAGGACTCAGAGAAACCAGGGGCTGCTGTTCAGCATATTCTTCCCCAGGACATGGAAGGAGAGAAGTTATTGTTAAACTCCCAGCCGTGGCACGCGAACACTCATTTGGGGGATAATGAGTCACTATTAAAACTCTACAGACGCAGTTTACACGAACAAGTACATGTAAATGTGTACCTGGTAACTTCAGGCTACGCCCTGTCCCTGGAAGGGAGGTGCACTTACCCCCCATGCTGTGGGACACCCAGATGATGGGCCTGTCCCCGACCCCTGCTGCGCGGAGCTTCCCCAGGAGCTCACTGCTTCTGAAGGCAATGGACTTTCTGCACAAAAGGAAGGAGTGGGCATCAGAGGCTGGGGGTCTCCCAGATTTGGCTTCCCCAGTGTCGCCTAGGAACTGGAACCAGCCCCTCTGCTGGGCTCACAGAGACATGATGCCCAGAGCGGGCCCTACACTTCCAACAGGCTCCCTGTAGTACCCAGTGTGTGCAAACCTTTCCCAGCAAACCATGGGGTCCCCGGGATGCCTGACCACCGAGGACCAAGCAGCCTGCCTCGCTCCTAGGCCGAACGTGGCAGTCACTGACGACCGTTTCTTGTGAGCTCACCTCCAAGGAGTGTGAGGGCACTCTGGTCAGTTCCACTAGTCCTCACACTGAAAGTACCCAGCCGCATCTGCATCTGGGTTCAGGAAGGGCTGGAAAGCCAGAAGGCTCTCCACATCAGAGGACTGAGAGCACAGGGTCCCAAACGCACTTGGCTTACGGTCCACTTTTCAGAAAGAAAGAAAAAAAAAAAGAGTGCCCCCTGGGAATTAAAACATTCCCACTAGAGCCCATAACCCCGGGATAAAGTGCGGGTGTCTGCTCTTGCAGCCCCCGGGGGTCATTCCGACATTGACCCCTCGGGGCACTACTGCCCACCCCGGGAAAAGCAGATTTAAAAGAAGCACGTTTCACACAGAGCGGGAACTTCAGGATGACCCTGCCTGGTGCCTACACTCTTCTCACTGAGACCCTTTCCTCGCACGGGCTCTGGAGAGCGCCGCAGGGTGGGCTGGGTGGAGGTGGGGAGGGAGATCATCCAGAGAACAGCTGCCAGCATTGATCTGGACCAACTGGCAATCTGTGGGCAGAACTACCCCGAGAAGTCAAGTGGCTTTTCTGACGTCACACTGAGTCTGAGAGAGAATGAGAACCCGTCTTGAGACTCAGAAACCCCATGTCCTTCCCTGTGGGCTCAGTGGGCACACGTGTCAGCTGAGAGCCACACGGGACCCACGTTGCTGAGTGCACCACCACCCCCGTGCCCCCACTCCTTCCCTGGCTTCCACTAGCTGGTGTGGCCAGCCGTGAGCACAAGTGCTTCACTTTGGGTAGAAAACCTACTACAGGGCACACAGTCTGACTGTTAGGGAGGTTGAAAACAGTGTTCGGCCTCTACACTGACAAATCGCTAATCCTTACACTATTTTACTGTGTGTTTATAACCAACTCCTTCTAGAAAGGAGAAAGGTAAGCCACTATATCTTCAGAAAATCCTAGCTGTGGCAACCCCCAAGACAGAGGATCCACCTGGCCGTGCCCCTCCCTCCAGCCCCTCCCCCAGGATGTGGGGGGTCTGACCTTTCCACGGGACACCTTGCCCGCCAGTCACTGAGGCTGGTGTCGTATTCCACAGAGATGACGCGGAGCGCAGGAAGGTCTCTGGCTAACCACGTCTGCGTGAGGGGAAAGGCACAGAAGCACACAGGTCAATCTCCACCGTCCAGCTACTGAAATCCATAACGCAAGGCCGCCTGCAACATGCACAGCGGTTTCCAGGGCTCAGCAAGCCTAGGGGAGGCAAAGGCAAGTCCAGTGTACGTTTAAGTCTCTGCCTGAACACTTGCGTCAACATTGGCAGCACGAAGCCCACAGGGTTTCCAGGGAGTACGCTCTATTTCCACCTCCTAACGTCAAGAGCAAGGCCTGTTTTAAAGTCTACCGAAAACGGGCTTGGTGAAGCTAGAAAACTGTTATCGCAGGCAGACGGTACCGGCTACTGTTTAGCGTCTTGCTGAAGACGTGGAGTTGGTTCTGACTGAGAGCAATCCTGTGGACAACAGAACATAACACACGCACGCACGCACGCTCGTGTCATCTGCACGTCACCGGTGGATAAAAAGCCGTCCCCCCCTCCGGACGCCACGCACGTCGTCTTGCAGTCCGGCTTCTTGGATTGCTTGCTCGGCACAGACTGAGGACGTGTGCCGAAAGGCTACACCCCTGATGCACACCTTTGTTGGTTTTTTTAATCATTTTATTGGGGGCTCGTTACAACTCGTCACAGTCCATTCATCCATCCATTGTGTCAAGCACATTTGCCCATTTGTTGCCATCATCAATCTCAAAACATTTTCTTTCTACTTGAGCCCTTGCTATCAGCTTCTCATTTTCCCCCTCCCTCCCACCTTTTGCTGGTTTTAAACCGTGCCGTGTGCCCTCCTGGTGTTAGAAAGAATTGTGTTCCGTGCACAGGTTCCGCACGAGTACAAGGGCACTTCTGGAACTCCCATGCTTCTCAAGGTTATCTGTAGCTTGATTCTCTGGCACCTCGCTGTGGATGTTTTACTGCAAAGGTATTTAAATCGCATTCATCAAAAATTTACTTGCATGTTATACTAATAACATTGTTTGGTAATTTCCTTACTCTGTTGGATCACCTTTCTTTGGATGGGCATAAATATGGACCTAGTCCAGTCAGTTGGCCAGGTAGCTGTCTTCCAAATTTCTTGGCATAGAGTGAGTGCTTCCAGGCCTTCACCAGCTGACACAATGCAATGCGTGTTCTGCCAGATTCTGCGGGCGTGTTTCTGGCTAATGCCTTCAGCGCAGCTTGGGTGTCTTCCCTCATTACCATCAGTCTGTGATCGTATGTGACCTCTTGAGGTGGCTGAACGTGACTGGTTCTTTTTGGCAGTGACTCTGTATTTCTTCTTCCTTTTTGCCTTTCATCTTTTGCTGCTTTCTGCATTATTCAATATTTTGCCCATAGAATGTTTCAATGTTCTAACTCACGGCTTGAGTTGTTCTTTTCGGTTCTCCTGAATTTGTGAGAGGCTGGGCATGGTCTTCCTACTTGGTCCTTTAACCTGGGTCTCTCCTCTGCTGGCTGGCTGGCTGTGTCCTTTGCAGCTGCCTTTTGAAAGGCTCCGTTCGGCTCCTGGACGTCGTCATCGTTGCTTCCATGGGCTCTAGCTAACCTGCCCCAGGAGGCAGATTCAGAGTCTCTGACCTCCACGTTGGCTTTTCCTTTGGCTTCTCGGTGACCTTTGGCTTCGTGCACGGTGTTCTGCTGTCCCTGCATGAACGGGATGGAGGGGGACGGATCTGACCTGTTGCCACGAGGCAGGGGTCCGACACGCCTCCACACGCCATCCTTTGTTACCTATTCGGACACCAACCGCCCCTCCCACACTGCTCTGCATCTATGCTGGGTTCCACGATTCCCGTGTGGCCATGGCCACCCAGAACTCACGGACCACGCTCATTAGGTAACTCAGTATTCACTAGGGCAGTCCATAGAGGTTACAGGATCAGTGGACAGTTACCATCACTGATCTCAGCCAGTGGCCAAGTCTCTCCTCTCTGGTTCTCAGCCTCTCAGCCACCTGGGAGCCAAGTCTCTCCCCGGTTCTGTGGTCTCTCAAGCCCCGTGGTCCCTCGGTCGTTGCCTCCATGCACGGAAGCTAGCCCGTCACTCTGCACCACATTCTCAGAGTCTCAGGCTAGAGGAGGAGAAGGTAGCACAGTCTCCCTGAGCCTGCGTGCCACAGTCTGTGACGCAGCTGATCTCGGCAGCCTTTGCCACTTCAGAAAGATCCTGAATGTGCTCTTCCTGGGGCCTCGGGGTTTCTCTCTGCCGACAAAGATGGCTCATCCTTTCAGTCGGGGAGGGGGTGGCGGTGGTAACAAACTGACCAATCCCTCTGCTCCTGTTACGCATGCTGTTTGCACAGTCCCACCAAGCATTCGGTGGGAATGGCTGACACCAGTCGTTTCAGCTCACTGATACCTAGGATCTCGATCTTGGTGAGTTCCATTTCATGTCTGCCGTCTTCCAGTTTCCCTAGATTCATCCTTTGTACATTCCACGCACAGTTATTAATGCAGCAGTTCTCAACCTGTGGGTTGCGACCCCTTTGGGGGTCGAACGACCCTTTCACAGGGGTCGCCCGATTCATAACAGTAGCAAAATGACAGTGATGAAGTAGCAATGAAAATGATGTTATGGTTGGGGGTCACCACATAAGGAACTGTATGAAAGGGTCGCAGCATAAGGGTGACAACCATTGTATTAATGGATGTTGCTGTTGTTTCTTCTCCTTTTATGTCATCCCATTGGCAAGCAAAGGCCCGAGAGAGTTGGTCTGTGGGATTAGGGGCATGGCTGCTTTGAGGGGCAGCTCTTCCCAGGTGTATCTGAAGGACCTGCCAACTCCTGGCTCTGGATCAGACAGTGCTCTGCTGGCTAATTCTGATCAGACAATGATCAGAAGGGGCTGACTTTTCAGAAGTAGACTGCTTCTCTTCTTAGCCTGGACACTCTGACCCTGCTGGTGTTTGAAATACCAGTGACCCAGCTTCCAGCAACACACAGGTTACTACAGTGTGAGTGATAAGGTGGCAGATACCTGGGGACGTATACAGACCGGCAGCACAGATTTTAAAGGCGCTTGAGATAAATTCCAAGCAATGACTTCATACAAGATGGGGTTTAAAACTATTATTTTAGCAGAAATAATGTCAAAGAAATGCAAAGTAAGTAGCATGATCTCTTCAAAGTCTTTCTGTTATTATACCATTATCAAAACCACAGACGTAATTAACTACTACGACTATGAATTAGGTTCCCACCATATGCTGTTGCTACTGAGTTGATTTGGGCTCATTGCAAGGCAAGGTGTTACAGAGGAGAGCTGTTCCACGAGGTGGCCAATGGCTACAGGCTGGCATGCCAGGCCTCTCTTCCGTGGCACCACTAGGTAAATCCGAACTGCCAACCTGTAGGCTAGCAGTCAGACACAAACCCCAGCCTAGGACCCGTGTGTTCTTCCAACATCATTCCATGTGGTGTGCTTTCAATGGGAGGGACCTGTGACTGGCCCCTGCCTTGTGTTCACTCGACACTGGATTCCATGGGATATTCTCTTTTCCAGTCACTGGCTGTCCCCTAAGCAGAACCAATACGCACAGGGTGGCAAACTGGCTGTCCATGGAGCATGCTACCAGGGCCCTAAGGGAACAAAGAACCGCTGGCTGGGGGTGGGGGTGGGGGCGCAAAGGGATCCCCATGGAAAGAGAACAACAAGTAACCACTAAGAGCCGGGAGGTGGTAGCCTGCGGGTGCCCTCACCTTGGGCCAGCAGGTGGTATACCTGTCTTCATCCTCCAAAACCTTTTCCATGAGGACCTGCTCGCGGTCCTGCTGGCGCCATGTTCTGAAGGCTGCTCCCATAAGGCCATGAATAAAAAGGACATCGGCTTTAATGGGCTGACTGACAGGGGAGAGAGTTTCAAAAGGAAGCAGAACAAGAGCATTATTGCCGCAGTCAGAACCTCCACAGCACTCTGCTACTCTGGAGGGGGGCTGGCGTGTTTGTCCGAAGGTCTGCTTGGCTTGGCTTTGGGCTGTGCACGCGGAGAGTACAGTGACCTTCAACGCCCTCACCTGTCATTCTGCCAGGTGTACATTGCCAGGGCAAGTGTCCACCCACCCCCACCCCCACCCCCACCCCCGCCTCCATGTGATTCTGGATATGTAGTTTCAGTAGCGAAGGACTGATCTACAAGGTGCTTAAAAGCCCAAACCCACCGCCTTCTAGGCAATTCCAACTCACAGTGACCCTGCAGGACAGGGCAGAACTGCTCCTTTGGGTGTCAGAGACTAAATCATTACAGAAGCAGACAGCCTCATCTTTCTCCCGTGGAGCTTAAACCAGTGACCTTGCAGACAGCAGTCCGATGATTAGGGCATGGTGCCACAAGGAGCCCTTACCAAGTACTTAGGGTGTTGACAGTATTTAAAAGAAGCAGGAATCAGTTGGCCGCGCCAGCCCTCCAGGTCCCCGACGGCCTCGTACCTGGAGCGGCACTGTGGGTGCAGCACATACACACCGTCCGGGTACTTCTCGTGCACGGTCTCTCGGTCCATGTTGGCCAGCGTCCTGGCGGCATGGGAGGCCTCCATGATTCGCTGGGATTTCAGCGCTTCTGCCAGGAGGGAAACCCAGCCTGCAGGACAAAACCGCAGCCTCTGAAGGCCGACGGCCCTCAGGGAAGTGGGCAGGGCCACGTCCACACATCCTCCACTCCTCCCCAGGGGGGCCTGACGAAGACACTGGGAGCAGGGACACCAGAGCCCTGGAAAGGGAACCACCCAAACGCCTTCTACAGGAATGTGGACACCTTGTGAAACCCTACTGAGGTCGCTGAGGGACGTCTGAAGGAACTGTCCCCCCAGCTCGTTCAGCTGGAGCAATGCTAGGCGGGTGTTCCCTTCTGGCTGTCCACTTCCAGGCCTCTTCCCCTGTCACTACACCTCACTGTGAGGGAACCACACTTCGAAAACTTCCACTCAGCACTTTCACTTCACCGTCCCTTTCGCTAGCGTCCGCGCCTCTGCGCTGAAGACCGTGTTTCAGAGGGCGGAATCCACAGTGATCGTGCCAGAAAGGATCGGTCATCTCCAGCAATTTCAGGAGGCAGTGCACACGATCACAAACGGACGGTGTTGTTGAAAGAAGTCCACGTTGCAGTGAGGACACTGGCTAAAAAACAAAGCTCTGAGAGTAGATGAGATGCCAATTACAATGTTTCCACTATAGGATCCAGCTCTAGGGGTGCTCAAGCGTCACTGCCAAGAATTTCAACCACCTGGCCATCTGACTGGAAGAGGTCCATATTCATTCTCCTTCCAAAGAAAGGTGATCGAGCCTGTGTGATCACGAGGGGTCGAGGGATCAGTTATCAGGCATCAAAGAACAAAGAATCATATCATTGTGTGTTCCCCTTCCCTACACGATCGATGGAAGACAAATGTGTGCATAAGCAAATGTGATGAAGAAAGCTGATGGTGGCCGGCTATCAAAATATATAGCAGGCCATCTGCAGAGAAGCAACAAAGTCCATATGGAAGAAACACCAGCCTGCATGATCACGAGGTGCCGAAGGGATCAATTATCAGGCATCAAAGAACAAAAAATCCTATCACTGTGAAGGAGGGGGAGTGCAGATTGGGGATCCAAAGTCCATCTGTAGGAAACTGGACAACCCCTTACAGAAGGGTCACAGGGCGGAGACAAGCCAGTCAGGGTGCAGTGTAGCAACGATGAAACAAACAACTTTACTCTAGTTCTTAAATGTTTCCTCCCCACCCACACTATCACGATCCCAATTCTACCTTACAAATCCGGCTAGACCAGCGGATGTACATTGGTACAGATAGGAACTGGAAACACAGGGAATCCAGGACAGATGATCAGCTTTAGGACCAATGGTGAGAGTGGCTATGGGAGGGTGGAGGGGAGGTGGGGTAAAAAGGGGAAACTGATTACAAGGATCTATATATAACCTCCTCCCTGGGGGATGGATAACAGAAAAGTAGGTAAAGGGAGACATTGCACAGTGTAAAATATGACAAAATAATAATAATGTATAAATTATCAAGGGCTCATGAGGGAGGGAGGAACAGGGAGGGAGGGGAAAAAATGAGGAGCTGATACCAAGGGCTCAAGTAGAAAGCAAATATTTTGAGAATGATGATGGCAACAAATGTACACGTGCTTGACACAATGGATATATGTGATGAGTTGTATGAGCCCTCAATAAAATGATGTTTTTAAAAAGGTGACCCAACAAATTATTGAATAATATCAGTAATGACATGTACAAACAAAATTTTGCTGAGATAAGTGAAAAACAGTACGCCGTCAGTGAACTGCCAGAAATTCAAGCTACAGACGAGGCTATGGGATAAGAGACATTGGTGCTGATGTCATATGGGTCTTTGCTAAAAGTAGACAATGCCAGAAAGATGTTTATAGCCAGTTACTGACGATACAACGGCCTCTGGATCACAACACACTATAGATAACGTCGTAAAGAGGAATTCCCAAGCACTTGATTGTGTTCAAGCAGAATCTGTACATGGACCAAGAAGCAGTTGTTTGATCAGATCAGATTATATTGTTTAAAATCAGGAAAGGTGTGCATCGGAGTTGTACACTTCCGCCATACTTATTCATCCTGGAAGCTGAACTATAAGAAGAACACAGGATCAAGACTAGAGGAGGGCTCATTCACAGCCTTTGATGGAGAGACCACCACCTTGCGTGCTGAAAGCAGAGAGGACCTCCAAAGACTGCAGCCTTTAGTGTGGGAGACACAGGCTTCAACATGAGCAAAAGCCCTCCTCACCCCTGGGCAGGAGGCAACATCCCCCCAAATGGAGCAGCGACTGAAATGGTCAAGGCACCTTCTTGCTTGGGCCCACAATCAGTGCTCGCAGCAGCAGCAGCAGCAGCAGCAGCAAGGACTCCAACACCGCACTGCTGCACAGGCTTATCGAATGGTTCACCAGCAAAGGTGTCACTTCAAGGACTAAGGTGTGCTTGACCCAAGCCATGGCGTTTGTCTTGCCTGGTGTGAACGCCGGACAACGAGTCAGGAAGACCAGGGAAGAATGGATGTGCTTCAATTACGTGCTGGGGAGAAAAAGGACCACCAGAAGAGCACACAAGCCGGTGCCATAGAAACAAGGGGGGCGGGGGGGGCGGGCGAGACTTGGTCTCGAAAGTCTCTGAACACATCCTCAGGGGAGACTCTCTTTGTGAGCATGGATGATGTCTTTTTCCAGCTCCCGAAGAGGGTCAAGGGAAGACGAAGCCCTTCGACAAGGTGGACTGACTCAGTGGCTGCAGCAATGGGCTCAGACAGGGCAGTGCTTTATTCTGCTGTGCACCGGGCCGCTGTGAGTTGGAACCTTCCTGAGGACACCTAGCAAGAAATGAGGTCATAAAAGGTAACCAGCCATCAGCAGACTGGTGATCGCGAATTCTAACACTCGGCGGGTTAGGGGGCAGTCCCTCCTGAGGGCAGTTCCATCAGCAGCCTTGAGTTCAAATGAGGAAATCCCTCCTTTCTCCGCACGCAAAGACATGGGGAGACTCACAGCCAACTAGGACGGGGGTGGACTCCATGAAAACGCCTGGTTTCACTTGTCCCTGTAACCATGGTCTGTCTCTGCAGTACCTGTGAGAAGAACCCAGCGCGCCTCATGTACATAAGCCAAACACAGAGCGACTTGCCGCAGGGTCTCAGTGAGGCGACACAGCCCCTCTGAGGGATCCATGTCTACAAGCGCACCCAGCCCTTTCCCAGGCCTGTCAGGGTCTCCGTACCAGCCCTCCTCTGGCGCCATCTCTGAGCCCACGGCGCAGGCCTGTGTGATGGAGAGAGGCCTGTACTTCACCCCGAGAGCCGCCCAGCCCTCCCTGTGTATCAGCAGGCACATTTACAATGTCAGCAAATTCCTCGTCAAAATCAGTGACAGAATGTGTCACAGAAAACTATTCCTAAGTTCCACCGAGCGAGAGACAGTGCCTTACTAGAAGGTATGATGGACACACACACACACACACACACACACACACACACTATTTTCAGGAAGGAACCAGAGCAGGACAGAAGCCATTTCTGTGTCATTTCAGCTGATGAAGTGTCTTCACCAGGCCCGAGATGCCTGGATGGACAGAAAGCACTTATCTCTTCTCTATAGCCACCCACTTTGGTATTTCTGTTCCCTCAACCCCCACAGGGGAACTCCAGTGGGCAGGAGTGGCCTGCAGGGGGGAGGGATGGAGGAGCGAGTATCGACCTGATACTCGCAGTCTGCTTATCAGGTGCAGGGGGACGGGTGGGGTGGGGAGCCAGGAGTGAGAACACAGTACCTCCTCCCTGTCTGACTGCTCCTCTCGACCAACCAGGTCCTCCCACCCTGTTAGTAGCACATCCTGACCAACACTATTGTGCTATTGCTCGGGCCACCTGGGATCCTGTACCCACAAGGCCTTGCCTCGACAGAGCAGTTACCTGAGCCAACGATCACGGGGTGAAGGTGCTCGTTCAGGGCCAGGTTCCCGATGACCCGCATCACGTTGCGCTGCACTTTGGGGCAGTCCCGGTATAGCCGGTATAGCCGCTGCAGCAGCTGCAGGCCCCCGAGCGCCACGATCTCATCACAGTGCGTGGGAATCTGGAACAGACCAGCGAGAGAGCATGTGATGTTGTACAGTCGGTGGTTCCCATGGGACAGTTCGACTCCGGCCTACAGGACTTAAGGGCAGGAACCGGCTAGACAGCAAGTGTCCTTTTCTACCCTTTCCTTAGCTTCTGTCACATTTTAAATCCATGGGGAGCATGCCGTGTGGTTCTCTCCAGTGCAGTGAGAGGAGTGGAACCATTTCTGGAAGGAAGTGCACGCTCGTGTCAGCTGCGGGCACGTGTGTGCTTCAGTGGACATCACAGACAC